GCCTATGCCAGTAGTGGAAGCTATTGTGTCATTGGGGAAGTCCGTGGGGTTGGAGGTTTGTGGCGAGGCTGTAGAAGAGTTCGTGCAGAATGACGATGAAGAACTAACCACTGCAGACCTGCAAGAGCTTGAGGTGCAACAGTAACAGATCACAGCTCAGGAATGTGCTTCAGAGCAGGAGGAAGAGAGACGGAGGAAGCTGCCTTCGTCAAGGATTAAGGAAATGTGTACAATGTTTACAAAGGTGCAAGCATGAATTTTATCCTGTCACAGCTGTTGCAAGCCGTACTGGCACGTGAGAAACAGAGCTCTCTGGAAAGATACTTGGTGCGACAGGGGTCCAGTGACTCTAAAGCTAGTCCTAGTGGCATTAAAAAACCAAGAAGGGAGGTAACCCCATCAAAGGACTTGGTACCTGAAGTCTTTATGGAAGAGGATTCCCCTTCCAAACAATTGGAAACTTGAATCTCCCCTGCTGCTGGCACATCACTCATCAACAACTCCACAATAAAGGTAAGTTGCATTTAATTATTATTTATTTTGCATGTACTATTTGTTTGTGTGTAGGGAAATGCATATTTCATGTAAAAAAAAATGATTTTGTTTAATACTTTTGTGTGTCTGGAATGGATTAATTGGATTTCCATTATTTCTTATGGGGAAAATTAATTTGCTTAACCCTTTCAGGGTCCATGCCATAGATCTGCGGCTTTATGTTCAGGGTCCAAACCGTAGATCTACGTCAAAATTCTAGCGGCATCAAATTTAGCGCAGAAAGGCTGGTAGGCCTACATGTGAGAGAACGGGTCTGCGTGCCATGTGCGCGCCATAAACAAAAATTCTAGGCGCCCGCATAGCATTGTGGGAACGCCGGCTCAGTTACCTTTGTTCACCATGCCTCGTCGCGAGGCAGCTCTCACTCCAAGGAAAATTGGGACTCTCCTCTTCCTATCTGATAGTTCTGACTCTGATGGAAGTGGAAATGAAGACGAATTCTTTGACTTTGATCAGTTAGTTACTGAAAGAAATGACCAGGATATCGATAATAGTGCAGAAAACCCTGACGATCCTCAGCCTTCTACCTCTGGTGTGGGCACTCAGTCACGTTCAGTTGTACCTCATCGCAAGAGAAAACTATTATTTTCGCGTGGCCAGGCCTCTGACTTCAGTAATGATGATGATAGTGACGTGGATTGTGATTTTATTGCTCTTGACGATCATTCGAGAAGTGATAGCGAGGAAACATATTCACCAGTGAAGCGTCAGTATATACGCCGCCGCAGTGCCCAGGGGACGGAGTACATCCCGTGGCCCTACACCAGGAATAGACAGTGAAAGTGAGGATGATGTGGTTACACTTGGCATGGATAGACCACAGGCATCAGTAGGTGGTGGTAGCAGTGATGGTAGTGCCATGGCCATGCATGACTCACCAACCTAGACTGGGACCCATGCTGCTGACTCCTCAGTTCAAGGACAAAGTGGAGCGTGAGCCACCACAACCACAACTACTAGCACAACCAGCTTATGATGTCCAGTATCCACCAGCAAACCATATCTGGGATTGGCAGCAAAATCCCAATTTTGTTCCTAAGCCCCACCAGTTTGATGACTTGATGGAAACTATTGTCAGGGAAAGTAACAAGTATTTTGAGTACACCATGGTAAATATGATGATATCACAACAATCAAGACTACACCGGTGGAAAGAGACAACTGTTGCAGAAATGTATTTGCTTTTTGCAACAATAATGCTTATGCCTCATGTCTATAAGCATAATATAAAAGCATACTGGTCCACAGATGGCTAATTTCTACCCCGGTCTTCAGTGAAATCATCCCAGTGAACAGGTTTATCTTACTGTGACGTATGTTGCACTTCTCTGACAAAACCAGGCCTGACAGAAGTGACAGGTTATACAAGATTAGAAATATTTTTATGTATCTCAAACAAAAGTTCAGCATATACTTTTATGCATTCAAGAATCTTGTAATTGACGAGTCTTTGATTTTGTTCAAAGTTAGACTGTCATTCAAACAGTATATACCGAGCAAGAGGAAACGCTTTGGTGTAAAACTGTTTGTACTCTGTAACTGTGACAGTGGCCTGGTATTGGATATTGTTGTATACACGGGAAGTAAAACATTGAAAGATACCAAGATGTTATTGGGTATCTCAGGTGACGTAGTGAGAAGCATGATGGCACCTTATCTTGGTAAGGGGCATACATTATATACAGATAACTGGTACACAAGCCCATTACTCAGTGATTTCTTATGAGTGAACAAGACAGATGTGTGTGGCACAGTGAGTTCTAATCGTAAACATATGCCCAGGCTCAACGCAGGTGCTCGTGGTGATGAGGTGCCGGTGTTTACTGCCAATGACATCATGGTATTACAGTGGCATGACGAACGAGATGTCACATTGTTGACAACCATTCACCTTAACGAAATGCAAGACAGTGGCAAAGTTGATAGAATGACTAATGAACATATTTGAAAACCAGTGACAGTGATTGATTATACATAAAACATGCGCTTGGTTGACAAATGTGACATGCAGATTGGTTTTGTTGATTGTGTTCGTAAGAGTTACAAGTGGTATATAAAACTTTTCTTCCATCTCATGGATATTTCAATGCTCAATGCATATAATTTTGTACCAAGTGAAGACTGGCAACAGACCACCGTATGGTGAATTTTGTTTGCCTGTTGTCAGACAACTCACAATGAAGTATCAGGTAACAACACCTGCTATACAAAACTGTCCTCGAACTCCTCAGGATATACCCAAGCGTTTGAGGAGGGAAGGTGATCACTTCATAATCCAGCTTCCTGCAACTAATACGAAATTTGCTCAGAGGAGATGTGTTGTCTGGGCACAAACAAAATGACGGCAACAAAGACGCGAAGACACTCGGTTTATGTGCGAGGAATGTAAGGTACCTCTGTGCATGGTGCCTTGTTTCAAGGAGTTCCAAAAGCTGCAGCAGTTCTAAAAACATGTCCAGTGATTGTACATAAGTAAATATATGATAGAACATTAGTATTATACAAGATTTGTGCATGTTTATTGTAATAAACAAAAGTGGTAAACAATATTATGATAAAAACTTTAGAGCGGTTATTGTGTTCAATACAGTGAGTTTATATACTATATACATTATATACAGTATTGGTCTCTCAGGCCCCAAATGTTAGTAGGAAAAGAAAAAAATTAGAAAAGAAAAGAAAAAAGTATAAAAAAACGTAAAATAAAGAAATGCGCGTTTGTGGAAATCGTCGATGTTGCCGCCACCTGGTCATTTTGGGTCAACTTCTCGCCACTGTATCTCAGTAAGTACTCATCAGAAATTTTTTTTTGTTTTATTACCTTCACAAAAATATACTCTTTAATTCTGTAAGAATTTTTTTTTGTTTTTTTTTTTCAAAATTTCTTGGACACTGGAGCACCCCTTCCGATTTTGGCCTTGGACCCTGAAAGGGTTAAAGGCTAAATTGGTTAAAGGCTAGCTCTCTGAAACGGATTAAAGGCATTAACCGAGGGTCCACTGTACTATGATAGTAAGATGGTACACAACAGACATTAAAAAAAAGTTGTAGCTGAATATACAAGCTTGAATATTTGGCAACAATAGGTTTAAAAAAGGGAGCAAGGGGCTAGTAACCCCTTCTCCTGTATAAATTACTAAATTTAAAAAGAGAAACTTTCGTTTTTCTTTTTGGGCCACCCTGCCTTGGTGGGATAAGGCCGGTTTGTTGAAAAAAAAAAAAAGCTTAAAAAAGTCTAAAATAAAATTGGGCAATAAAGTAAGTATAAAATAAAATAGGGCAATAAAGCAAGTATAAAATAAAATAGGGCAATAATAAAAAGTTTAGAATAAGGTTGAGCAATAAAGTATAAAATAAAATAGGGCAGTAATAGAGTTAACTAGGACAATGCTATAGTATGTTACAATTAGAATAAAATAAGACAATGATGTGGTAAGTTGCAAATATTTGATAAAGTAGAAGAAATAATAATAATAATAAAAATAATAAAGAGAGAGATTCTGTAGATATTAAATACATTTAAGACTATGAGGTAGAATGGTAATTGAATACAAGTGAAATTCAAAAGTAGTATGGGGGTATTAGAATTTTACGGAACAAATTTTATGGCAGTATATAACTGTTACAGGGTGATTCGTAACACTATTCATGGATGGTGGGTATAATTTGCACTTTATTCTGATATTGTTAACCCAGCCTCAATTGGGAATGTTTTTAGTTCGTATTCCATAGAGATGAAGTCTCTCTTCCCAGTGGGTTGTTTCCTAACTGCAATTTTACCATCCCTCACAAAGTTGTGCAAGAAAAGTATAAAATACTGACAAGATGAAAGTTAAGACACATGTGCAACATCTGATGGACTGAACACATCGACTCCAGGCTGAGGGACTGATTACCTCAATCTCCTCCTCTTCTTGCACCTCTCTGCTTTGTATTGGACTGATGAAGCCACTGTGTGGTGAAACGTTTCCTAAATAAAGATTTCCATATGGTGCACAAGTGTCTCAATCTTCAAACTGGAAATTGTTAAAAATACTAGAGATGAAAACTGATTAGATTACTGACTTCTACATGGGTAATAGGGTAGTTGTGATAGTTCAATTAGGAGTTTCTTGAGATCAACAGATTGTGTAGAAAGCATTCTAGTGAAACAGCTGAGAGGTGTGTCAGTTTGAGCACTGAAAATGGCCTAGAAGAGGCCTCAAAATGAGCCTAATTACTGTTGTGTAAAATACTCCTTAACCTCCAACTTCACACTTGTGTAATTGCATAAGTTTTACATCAAATATTGCATTGTCAGTGTCAATACCTTGAGAAAATTGTAGACACAGAAGGGGCTTTCAATCTGGAGTGTGTAGAGCATTTAAAGCTTAAAATCAACACAAACAATCTAAGGTATACAAAATATAATATTCAGTTTTAACAAACATTTTGTAGCCTCTCACCGGGATACATCTTGCCAACTTCCTCAATGAATTTGGTATTGAAGCTAGCAATGATAGCACCACCAACAGGCACCATGAAGTTCTTGTCAGTGCTCTGCACAAAGGCATCGACACGACCAACTCTAAAGAAAAAAATGACAATGTATCACAGTGAAGAATTTTCAAAGACCTACAAAAAATGACAAGTAAAATATAGAACTATAAGACATTCCTGAAATTTCAAGATTTATTACATAGCTGAGATGAGGATTTCATAACCCAAGGACAACCAATTTTATGTAGATGAAATTTGTTCAGGATATGAAACATGGCAGGAAAATAATAGATAATTACGAATGGTATTCACCTGGATATCCAACATGTCTATCACATTTTAGGCTAACTTAAAATCTTAAATGATTTTAACCTTTCTGTTTGGTAGCTTTACTGAATGAAGGAAATGCAGAATATGGTATTTTGAATGGGTATTACAATAAGTTGTGGAAAGAAACATATATGCAATGACTAAGTTATTTATTAAAGAATCATTTTGCTACAGATGGCCTCTAATACATACGATACTGTAAATAACACAAGGAGTCAGGAGAACAATGGGAAGAGAGAGGTAATAGAGTAACTTGACCCCTGGATAAGGCAGCCCCCAAATATGCTAATTCAGAAACACATGACTAAAAAAGCTCAACTGTTATTTGGCTCTCACATTAAGCTCCCTGACATGTGCCATAATTTGTGAAGAGCTCACTAGTCATGTGCAAAACCACCAGTTAGTACTCTGGATAATTTTCTCCTTTGTGTCAGCTTGGGCCTTGCAGATGAGACCACTGCTATGGTTGCCAGTCCACTCAAGCTGCCTCAGTGCTTTGTGCCAGTTTGGACCTAGCAAGTGAGACCACTGCTATGGTTGCCAGTCTACTCAAGCTGCCTTAGTGCTTTGTGTCAGCTTGGGCCTAGCAGGAGAGATCAGTGCTATGGTTGCCAGTCCATTCAAGCTGCCTCAGTGCTTTGTGTCAGCTTGGGCCTAGCAGGTGAGATCAGTGCAATGGTTACCAGTCCACTCAAGATGCCTCAGTGCTTTGTGGATGACTGATCAACTGTGCTGTAAAACAAGCAGAGTGAAAGTCCCATTTGCATGACTTTGGAGTAATGATATTGGATGATATCACATTCCAGGATCACAACCAAGCTGTCATTGCTACTGTAAAGATAATGATAGACTGGATAACTAGAACTATCAAGACAAGAAATGCTCAGCCAATGATGATCCTCTTCAAGTCACTTGCTCTCTCTATGCTGGAATACTGCTGTATACTGATCACCTCCCTTTTAAGGCAGGTAAGATTGTTGAGCTAGAAAATGTAAAGAGAACTTTTACTGCTTATATACACTCAACCAGGCATCTAAACTACTGGGAATGCTCGAAGTCCCATAAACTGTATTCCAGGATAATCCTGGAAAGACTGATTCCAAACCTTAACACTGAAATAACTCTGTATGACAACAAAAGCCTCGGCAGACAGTGCAAAATACCTCCATTTAAAATCAGGGGCAAGATAAGTACAGTGGACCCTCCCTTTTCGTCGATCTCCATTATCAATGATTTCTGCTTTAGTCCAGTTTTTTCGTCAAAATATTGATTTCGTTTACTCCAATGGTACGGAACCTGTCCAATGCCCAGAGTGCACACAAAGCCACTTCCCACACGCATTCTGAGGCAGTGTCGTGTTGTTTCTCGGTGAGTGAACATATCCTGTGAAGTCGTACGAAACATTTCGTAATATTTCATTGTTATTGGCACTTGTTTATTGTGAGTGACTGCTAAATAAGCCTCCATGGGCCCGAAGAAAGCTGCTAGTGCCAGTCCTTTGGTGAAGAAAGTGAGGAACACCGTAGAATTAAAGAAAAAGATTGCAGAAAAATATGAAAGTGGTGGTGGTAGAGAGTGGTAGTGATGGTGGTAGAGAGTGGTAGTGATGGTGGTAGAGGGTGGTAGTGATGGTGGTAGAGAGTGGTAGTGGTGGTGGGAGAGGGTGGTAATGATGGTGGTTGAGGGTGGTAGTGATGGTGGTAGAGGGTGGTAGTGATGGTGGTAGAGGGTAGTTGTAATGGAGGTAGAGAGTGGTAGTGATGGTGGTAGTGTGGTAGTGATGGTGGTATAGGGTGGTAGTGGTAGTGATGGTGGTAGAGAATGGAAGTGGATTTTGGTAGAGGGTGGTAGTGATGGTGGTAGAGGGTAGTTGTAATGCTGGTAGAGAGTGGTAGTGATGGTGGTAGAGAGTGGTAGTGATGGCAGTAGTGGTAGTGATGGTGGTAGAGAGTGGTAGTGATGGTGGTAGAGAGTGGTAGTGATGGTGGTAGAGGGTGGTAATGATGGTGGTAGAGGGTGGTTGTGATGGTGGTAAAGGGTGGTTGTGATGGTGGTAGGGGTGGTAGTGATGGTGGTAGTGGTAGTGATGGTGGTAGAGTGGTAGTGATGGTGGTAGAGGATGGTAGTGATGGTGGTAGAGGGTGGTAGTGATGGTGGTTGAGGATGGTAGTGATGGTGGTAGAGGGTGGAAGTGATGGTGGTAAAGGGTAGTTGTAATGCTGGTAGAGAGTGGTAGTGATGGTGGTTAGAGGGTGGTAGTGATGGTGGTAGAGGGTGGTTGTAATGGTGGTAGAGGGTGGTTGTGATGGTGGCAGAGAGTAGTAGTGATGCTGGTAGAGAGTGGTAGTGATGGTGGAAGAGGGTGGTAGTGATGGTGGTAGAGGGTGGTAGTGATGGTGGTAGAGGGTGGTTGTAATGGTGGTAGAGAGTGGTAGTGATGGTGGTAGAGGGTGGTTGTAATGGTGGTTAGAGAGTGATAGTGATGGTGGTAGAGGGTGGTTGTAATGGTGGTAGAGTGGTAGTGATGGTGGTAGCAGGTGGTTGTAATGGTGGTAGAGAGTGGTAGTGATGGTGGTAAAGGGTGGTAATGATGGTGGTAGAGGGTGGTAGTGATGGTGGTAGAGGGTGGTTGTAATGGCGGTAGAGTCATAGTGATGGTGGTAGAGGGTGGTTGTAATGATGGTAGAGGGTGGTTGTGATGGTGGTTGTGATGGTGGTAGAGAGTGGTAGTGATTTAAGCAATGTGGAGTAGGGTGCAAACATTTGTGGAGGAATGACAATGCCATGTCCCATTTTAGGGAAATTTTGAAGAGATGCCAGAAATAGAGCTTTCCAGACCAATTTTTTGTGCGACAGGGGTCCAGTGACTCTCAAACTGTTCCTAGTGGCATTAAAAAGTGACCAAAGATAAGCACTGGGTACCTCGAGTCATTATGGAGGGGGATTCCCCTTCCAAACAATAACCTCTCTTCCCTCTCTCCTCCTCCGTCTTCCATCCATCAACAACAGCCTTCAATACAGGTAAGTATCATGTTGAATGTTCATTCTTTTGTGCATGTAAATCTATCTTTAAGGTAAAAAAATAATTTTTTTTTTTAATACTTCTGGGTTTCTGGAATGGATAAACTGAATTTACATTATTTCTTATGGGGACAATGGTTTCAGTTTTCGCCGATCTCTCTGGAACGGATTAAACACGAAAACTGAGGGTCCACTGTACACTAAGAGAGAACTCAATGTGTCTGAGGTCCGAGACTCTTCAATGTCCTCCCTCCATGCCTACGGGGTATTACCAACAAACTTCTGGTTGTCTACAAGGGGGTACTGGGTAAGTTCTTCTGACCAGCCGAACTGTGGTTCATATGTTGGACTGTGTGCAGCCAGCAGTAACAGCCTGGTTGATCAGGCCCTGATCCTCCAAGAGGCTTGGTCTAAGACTGGGCCGTGAGGGCATTGACCCCCGGAAATGACCTTCCGGTATCTCTAAGGTTTAAGTATCATTACTCTCTCGCATTTCTGGATATTAACCATGGCACCCACAAGAAATACTAGTTATGCTGGAGGTGCCAAGAAGAAAATTAAGTGTGATGAATGGTTTGAAAAACCGGCAAGTTGAAGATTGAGACACTTATGCAGCATATGGGAATCTTTATTCAGGAAACGTTTCGCCACACAGTGGCTTCATCAGTCCAATACAAAGAGGAAGGCGTAAGGAGAGGAGGAGTACGAGGTAATCAGTCCCTCAGCCTGGAGTCGATGTGTTCAGTCCATCAATCTTGTAGAATGTACAGCACAGGGCCGAAGATGTGGCTTATATACTGTAGTGAGGTGAGGTGAAGCAGGCGGAGGCGGGGTCATAGTGGTACCATCCACTAGTCGAAGTAGGTCTTCGTCCAAAGGTTGAACAAGTGTTGAAGAATTCTTTGTAACAAGATCCCATGATGCTGCAGTGTCTGACAGTTGTGATGAATGGTTTGAAAAACCGACAAGTTGAAGATTGAGACACTTATGCAGCATATGGGAATCTTTATTCAGGAAACGTTTCGCCACACAGTGGCTTCATCAGTCCAATACAAAGAGGAAGGCGTAAGGAGAGGAGGAGTATGAGGTAATCAGTCCCTCAGCCTGGAGTCGATGTGTTCAGTCCATCAATCTTGTAGAATGTACAGCACAAGGCCGAAGACGTGGCTTATATACTGCAGTGAGGTGAGGTGAAGCAGGCGGAGGCGGGGTCATAGTGGTACCATCCACTAGTCGAAGTAGTGCCTAACAATGATTTATTACATATAAACTACATTACAGCCTCTACTCACTTAATGACCGAGTTCTGTTCCTAAGAGCAGGTCGGTAAACGAATTGGTTATTAAGTGAGGAGCATACAGGAGGCCCTCCACAGTCGCAAGGGTTAGGGGATCAAGAACCTCGCGAATCTTGAAAATTCCTGAATGTTTGGTATGCAAATATGATGTAGGGAAATATAATACTGTACTGTAGCATTTGCAAATGCTCTGATGCGAAAATACATTGTAGGGAAATATAATAATACCATTTACTTTTCCTAACAATACTGCTTCCTTAACCTATTGAACCACAAACAATCATAAAACACATGAAAGAACATTGTGATGGGCAACTGAGACCGTTTCCTCTTCATATCTACAAACGGAGTTTTATAGGGAATTATGCTCCTATCAATGTTGCTCATCACCTTCAAAATTTTTTTGGGCTGTGCTGTCATTTTGATCGCTTGCCCTAGTTTTTCAAGGGTTTGAGGTTGATTGGCCTCAGCAACACACTCCTCTTCTTCATCCTCACTCTCTGCCTGCACAATCTCCAACAATTCTTCATCATTTAGGCCCAGTGCATGTTCCTCAACCAGTTCTTTCACCTCACCCTCCTGCAACATCTTCACACATTCCCTCCAGTGATGGTGGGCGACCTGGAGCATTATCAAGAAGGAGGATTCTTTTCCCACATTTGTTTGGTAAATATGATTGGGCGACTGGGCATTTGCAAATGTTCGAAGCTTGCAAAAGTGGAACTCGCGAAAGTGGAGGGCTAGCTGTGTTGTACTGGTAGTGGGTTTGTGTCAACCAGCTTTAAATATTGTTTTAATGTCACCTTTGCACCATTTAAAACATTTTTAGTATATTTTTAAATGTTTATATAGTAGTGTACTGCATACAGCCTCTCCTCACTTAGCGACGTACTTGTTTACTGACGACTCGGACTTGCGATGGGCTCTCTGACCAATATGAATACCTAAATAATGTATTTTAGAGTTGATTTCCTCTATTCTGTTTATTACAATATACAGTACACTACCGTATAAAAATTTAAAAATATACTAAATGGTGCAAAGGTGAAATTAACCCTTTGAGGGTCCGTCCCATAGTTCAACAGCTTTGAAGCCTGGGTCCAAGCCGTAGTTCTACGACATGAGCTTAGCTCACTCAGATAAGCTGTGAGCGGTAAATTTGGGCCTAGATATGAGAGAATGGTAATTGTGAACCACATAAAACAAATCCTGCAGCATGCAGTGCAAAATAACAAATTTTTTTTTTTAAATTCTTGGACCCTGGCTGTCACACTGAGATTTGGCCTCTGGACCCTCAAAGGGTTAAAACAATATCATAGATGGGTGATACAAGCCCACTACCATTACAGTTGCTCCTTGTTTAGTGATGAATTCGTTTACCAACGTGGTCTTAGGAATGAAACTCCATCTTTAAGTGAGTAGAGGCTGTACTGTAATAAACAGAATAGAGGAAATCAGCCCTAATATACATTAGTTAGGTTTGCATATTGGTCGGAAAGCTGGTCATAACTCCGAGTAGCCAGTAAACGAGTACGTTGCTAAGTGAAGAGAGGCTGTATTTTTGTACCCCATAAAAAAAAAATAAAAATTTGAATTCGATAACACCCTTATTCTGGAATCTTACAGTCTCTGGACTCAAATGTGCTGATTGTATTTTTAGCAATGACTATGACATCTCTGACACAACCGTTGGATCAAGAAGCTATCATGACATATAAGTGTGACTACACATGAAGGGGTATGGCAGAGACGGCCTTTAGCTTCATCTGTGGAGACACTGGAGAACAGGACCTTGATGTCAAAACTCACAAACTTCTTATGTTTGATACTGTAATCTCTGACATGAATCCCAAAAAATCTAAGTATTGTAAATGCACCTGACTGGTCATACCAGTTTGACCAGGTCCTGAGCAAGGACTACTGCTAGTTTATGAGGGGCACTCTCTATCCCTGAGGAGATGGACCTTACTGAATCTCAAAGTAACATTTATGAATGGATTCAGGGAAAAACCAGTTAGCTGGACTTGAGTCCTGAAGGTAGGAAGTAAAGTGTCTGTATGTATTTGAATGAGGGGTGAAGATGCTGCAGTTCACAGGCCAACTGAACTTTGATATGAGAACATTTCAGGTAAGTAAGCACATTTATTTAGGTACCGGTACACAAAAGCATAAATATCGTGCACAGTAACATGATAGCCCAAAAAAGTCAGATAAAGTGACTGATTTCCACTGAGGTCCTTGTAATATCTTATTATTTAAAGCCTAGTTGTAAGTTACAGTACGACAGTAACTGAATAACAGTAAATATGTTTCCTCATTATTTGTTCACAGTTATTGTGGTGACAGATGGCCAATATGAATAAAAAATTCAGCTTCAATTAAATTGTAATAAAATTTTCATTATATAATATACTGATCTTTACCAATATACACCAAATAAACAAGAATTCTCTATACATGCATAAAGTAAACACACAAACTTTCAACTCATTTGGCAACTTTATTTTAAAAATTGAGCTTTAACAAAACTGCAAATACAGCCTCTCCTCACTTAACAATGGAGTTCTGTTCCTAAGACCACGTCGGTACACAAATTTGTCACTAAGTGAGGAGCATACTATAATGGTAGTGGGTTTTTGTCAACCATCTCTGATATTGTTTTAATATCACCTTTGCACCATTTATAACATTTCTGGCATATTTTTAAATGTTTATACAGTAGTGTACTGTATACTGTAATAAACAGAATAGAGGAAATCAGCTCTAATATACATTATTTACATATGCATACTGGTCAGGCAGCCCGTCTTAAGTCCGAGTTGTCAGTAAACAAATACGTCTCTAAGTGAGAAGAGGCTGTACATAATTTGCAGTTCTTGAGCAATCTCTACTAACATCAACTCTACACACATGCACAAAACATACACAAATTATCAATGTATTGGACAAAAAACAAATTGAGAAAAAATATTTATAAACCAGCTTCACAAAATGATAATTATATAATGTACAAACTTGGCACACATACTTATAATGAACATACACAAATTATCAATGCTTTTGGTAAAAAAAAAAAAATTATGAAGAGAGTTGTGGAAAAAAGGCCATAAAAATTAATAATTGATTATCTAGCATTTTAGAATATTCAGTGCAGCTTCTGGATCAATGGAAGAAAATGGATTATTCAGCATATCAAAAACCTTAGTGTATTATTATTATAATCAAAAAGAAGTGCTAAACCACAAGGGCTATACAGCGCTGCAGGGCAGGAAGGAAGCAAGGGTATCAGGTGGCAAAAGGGAGAGGGATGAGTAGTAGGTTACGGAGAACAGCGGGGCAACCTTACTGTAACTACCTGACTACATCAGGTAATACTATAAGGTAAGTGTATATATTGTAAAGAGCCATTCTTGCTTACTTCAAACAGAGGCTCAAGTTTCTATCATTCTTTGCTTTGAATGACTCACATAGGATATTTTAATAAAAAACATCTCCTGTATATTGTGGCAGTTGGTGATAAAGACCACACTGATCAGCTGGGCTGTGGTTCATGTGTTGGGTTGTATGTGGCTAGCAGTAACAACCTGGTTGATAAGGTCCTGATCTACCAAGAGGCCTGGTTAGCGACTCATCCGTGAAAGCGCTGACCCCCAGAATGACCTCCAGGTAGGCAGACAAGGTAAAGGTACCAACTGCAGACTGACTGCAAACTACAGATTTTTTCATCTCACCTGCCAGCTTCCTGAATGTGGTGAAGGCACTTTGATGACTGCAGACCATAAGCATTGTTGACTAAGTGAGGCACCCCAAACTCAGCACATAATTTAGCTACCTGAAACAAATATGAAGACTACTAGTATTTCAGTTCAAGAAATATATTCACAATTATCTTGAAACAGACAACTAGGAGTGTGTCCTTAATATACATTAGGAAGATGAATACATTAAAGTACATTTTAAATTTCCTGAAAAAATTTATATTTACAAGAGAATGATTACTTGATTAATAAGACCCCTTTTAAAGTAGTATTTTATGGAGTTAATCAGTAATGTTTAACCCCTAAATGGTCCAAATGTATATATACGTTCACTCACGTAGTGCCCCAAACTTTTTGAGAAATTTTTTTTTTTTTAATAGGAAAAAAGAGCATATGGTACCCAGGCATCCCCAATTGTTTTAATGTGGTGCACAGTGAGTGCATACACCCATTCTCTCATTTCTAGGTGACTCAGGCTTATCGTGGCAGTGTTGAATGAATGACAAAGAAAACGTATATATACGTTTGGGGCGCTATGCACGTGACTGTATATATATGTTTGGACCATTTAAGGGTTAACCCATAAACGGTCCAAATGTATATATACGTTTTTACCGCTAGTGCCCCAAACGTATATATACATTTTAATTTTCCTGCCTTCAAATTTGGCACGACTGGCCTGAGATTGCCATGTCAGCATAGAATGGGTCCTAACACTAAGTGTGCACGGTATTAAAAAAATCTGGGACCACTTAGTACCTTGTGGGATCACCAGTTCAAATGAGCGCCAGCTAGAGCAAACAGCGCAGCAAACACCTGGGATTCACTGATGTCATGTAGTATCTTACCTTACTAATAGGTATCAGTATGTTACCATTAAAGACACAGCATCAACAACACGGCCACTTGATACTGGAGTTCCACAGGGAAGTGTCCTTGGTCCCCTGCTCTTCCTCAAATACATCAATGATTTTCCAAACGTATCCCAACACCTGAAACCCATTCTCTTTGCTGACGACACGACTTATGTCATCTCTCACCCTAATCTTGCCACCCTCAACACCATTGTTAACGAGGAGCTGATCAAAATATCGACTTGGATGACAGCCAATAAACTTACGCTTAACACTGACAAAACCTACTATATTATGTTTGGTAGCAGAGCAGGAGATGCACAAATTAACATTAGGATTGACAACACTCTAATTACCAGACATAATGAGGGCAAATTCCTAGGCCTATACCTTGACAACAACCTGAATTTCAGCACCCATATCCAACACATAACCAAAAAAGTATCCAAAACAGTTGGGATCCTCTCCAAGATACTATACTATGTGCCGCAAAATGCCCTTCCACACTATACCACTCACTTATTTTATCCATACCTCACCTATTGCTATTTGTGCTTGGGGATCAACTGCAGCAACACACCTAAAGCCAATAATAAACCCAACAAAAAGCTGCAGTATGAATAATCACTAAATCCCATCCCTGGCAACACCCCCCCCCCCACTCTTCATAGATCTAAACTTACTCCCTGCTCAGTAAATCCACACTTACTACTGTGCAATCTACACTACAGGACCTTAAACTCCAATATCAACCTTGACCTAAAATGCTTTCTTGATAGTTGTGACAGAACCCACAGGCATAACACCAGACACAAACATCTCTAAAGACATTCCCCATGTCCGACTAACCCTTTACAAAAATTCAATGTATGTCAAAGGCCTAAAATCTGGAACACCCTACCTGAGAACTCTAGAACTGCAGACACATTCATCACCTTCAAAACTACCATTAGAAAACATCTTATCTCCCTGATAAACCCCATAAACTAACTACACGAATACCACCTGGTGGTTCACACTTACACTCACTCACCCATTTGACCATAAACAGAAATATTAATCTCAATCTTAAAATAATGAATCCTATGATACTCCAATACTGAAACTATGTACTGTGCCAAAACAAAAGCATTCACATTGCTAAACTCACAAACTAGTATTTAGTCACTTAGCCATAATACCAACTTACCTCATAATTTGTAATATTTTAAAATAAAGAATTAAACTAAGTCTGGGCCCCAAATGCCTAGCCATGCTAGGCGTTCTATTGGTACACTCTGTAATCATTATTTAACTACATGTAAACCACACAACAACCAAATTCTGTAAATTCAACACTGTAATCTTTATAGAGAATAAACTTTGAATTGAATTGAATTGAATTAACTCTCCCATTTTAAGATGAAAGTGATTTTGACCCTGAGTTTAGTAGCTTTGAGGTGGATGTGGCCATTACTGGTCGAGGGAATATAAAAAAAAAACCTCGATAATAACCCATGTGGAATATTTGTGCAACACCCTTTCAGAATGTCTTATAACCTATGCCCTAAGTAAAGAGAAACAATTCTGGCTGGCTGGCAGGCTGGCTGCCTGGCTGGATGACTGACTGACTGATTGGCTGGCTAGCTGGCTGGCTACAGCCAGCTAGCTACAGCCAGCTAGCTACAGCCAGCTGCGTGGTGGCCAGCTGTGTGGCTGGCCGGCTGCTGGCGGCCTGGCTCTATCTCCGTTTGTCTGTCTGTATCTATCTCTAACTCTGTCTGTCTCTCTGTCTCTGTCTTTGTCTCTGTCTATCCCTATCTGTCTCTATCTCTTTCTATCTGTCTGTCTATCTCTGTCTCACAGGTACACATAAATACAAGTATACATAGTGTAAATTACCAAGGATAACCCAAAAAATCCAGACAAAGCGCTATACTCTACTTGAAGATGTGAGTAAACGTGATGATGCAGTCTGGTGGCTCTCTCTGAGACAGAGAGTTAGACCGACAGACAGAGAGATAGGGAGCTTGACAGACAGACATGTTTGTGTACCAGCGAAAACAAAGGAGGGCAATGCTCATCAAATGTCACCTCTAATCTTTTCTTATCTGCTGCACCCTCCCCCACCCTCGAGTATGCTCATCAAATGTCAGCTCTTATCAGATGTTATCTCATCTTATCATGTCACTGTCAGGGGTGGACTTTGTTTTTCATGCTTCAAGAGAACATATTATTTTATTATTATTGCATTTTTTTTCTCCTTCTCCTTCTCCTCCTCTTCCTCCTCCTCCTCCTCTTCCTCCTCCTCCTCCACCTCCTCCTTCTCCTCCTCCTCATTATTATTATATACTTTCACATATCCAAAACATTGCTGGGACATATAAATACTTTGTATATATTCCAAGACAATAGTAAATGACCAAGGCAGGTGTAAATGTCCACCTGTCAATGTGTTTGTGACAATGTGAGTACAATTTCAGTACCTAATACTAGTGTCAGAACAAAGATTGGTTATGAAATGACAAGAATCTAACTTTAATTGTAATTTTCAGAACTAAAAAATTATATAAAATAATTAAAAACTAGAAAAACAAGGAATTCGGCAACTTTTTTTGCAAGCGAGCGCCCCATGTTGCTGTCGGGTGGCCCCCAAGGGCAACTTTGCTGCCTCATCCCTGGTAAGTACTGATTTTTAAATTTTTTTTTTTATCCTTTTAAACTTAAAAAATGTGCTCTTTTTTTTAAAATAAAAAAACAAAAATTTATTTTTCAAAATATTGGGGACTGGGGAGTGATTTAAAAACAGTGGCCCCTCAATAATCGTCCGGCCTGAAAGTCGCCATTTCGGAAAATAGTCCCTTATTTGTCAAAAATTTGGGCTAAAAATGGTCCTTTTTAACTCGCTAATCGTCCTTTGCCCGGGGGAAGGTGTCATGCTCTGAGCTGCCGGGGCCCCCTGCCTTCCCCACCGTGTGCCATTTTTACCATGAGCGACGGTTCCTCACTTGCCCCACGAAATTTTCTAATATTCCTTGATTTTGTGCTTGCAAGTGTAAATAAGCTCCAAATGGCCCCAAAAAAAGTTTGTGACAGCCCTTGGAAAAGAAGGGGGAAAAACCACATAATTTATGAAAAAGTTTGTAGAAAAATCAAAGGGGGTGGGGGGTAGAGTGGAAAGCAGTTGTGATAATGGTTGGGTGGTAGAGGGTGGTAGTGATGGTGGTAGGGTGGTTGTGATGGGGTTTGAGGGGGGTAGTGATAGTGGTAGAAGGTAGTAGTGATGGTGGTAACAGTTGTAATGTGGTAAAGGGGGTAGTGAGGTGGTAGAAATTGTAATAGGGGTAGAAGGTGGTAGTGAGGGGTGGTGGGGTGCCTTCTTTTAGTGATTCAGCAATTCCCCCAATCTCTCCAATGTTGTTGGAGTTTATGGGCTACAGAAAACACCCCCGCCCCAGCTCTGCTTCACCCCTTATGGAAAGGCTTACTCTGGGGGGGCCCCTTATTTCCCAACACAACACCTCTTGTGACATACGAAATGTTTTTACTTTTTCATTCGAGAAAATATTCCATGTTTTATTTATTAATATTGTTTTTTATGTCTATTAGTTAAATTGTGAAGATAAAAAAGCCGTAGAGTTGTTTTTTTGTGTCATATTCTCCACCAAAAACTTGCCATCCCCCCCCACACAAGCAAGTCTTCAATAAGAACATAAGAAAGGAGAAAAAGCAGTAGGCCTTGGGGCCCCCATTAGGCCGGTCCTTCACAAATCCAACCCACTAACAGAACAATGCTCCCAAGCAATAACCCAAATGCAAGTCCGCTAAAACCCAAACCCCTCTCACTCTTTTGTATTTTTCCAACCTAAATTTGAAATCCCCAATGTTTTAGCTTCGATCCCCCCTATAGGCAGACCGTTCCCTCATCACTACCCTTTTACCAATGTTCTTTATCATTTTATTAGTGCTTTACTTTTTTTTTGGGTTTATTTCTGCATCAATCTATATTTTGCAAGAGAAGTGCCCCTGAATTTCCCTAAGTCCTTTGGGGGGGATGCCCTTCCAAAAAATAACCTTCTTCCCTTTCCCCTCCCCCCTGTCTTCCTTCCAACAACGCCTTCAAAAAGGTAACGTATGTTGAATGTTCATTCTTTTGTGTATGTAAATCTATCTTTTAGGAAAAAAAAAAAAAAATTGTTTTTGCTTCTGGGTGTTGGAATGATTTTTAATTTGGGATTTAA